AACGAGGTGTAAAAATGAACAGATGGGTTGAATGTAAACACGAGAATGGAAAATTTATGCACTTTCTATGACCAATACATTGACTAGACGAATATTACATACACCGTATCGATCATACCATTTCAGAGGTTACTTTATATGTGAATTTGGAAGTTTAAGGGGATGACAGAATGAACCGGGTATTTCGAATATTTATAAGGAAATCAACAGCTTTCCAGTCTCGACCGAATCATAGATTAAGGCCGAAGGCGTTGTTCTTTTGTCCAGGCGTATTGGCGCAGTACTTGTGTTTTCCACAATGGTACTGTATAGGCCCGAGTGGAGAGGTTTGTTGTACACGCAAAACTTTAGGAAAAGAAGAAAAGAAGAAAAAAAAAACCGGTACGTTTCTTGAATAACAAGATCTTGGAATATGATGTGATGCCGTGTGGTTATCACACATTCCCAACGGAAAAATAATATGTAATGCGAATAGTAGAATGTGTGCTCGATAATGAACATAAAAAAAAAAAAGATTTTTTTGTCAATCATTTTTTTTGAATTAGTATGTATTTTTTCTTTTTTTTTTTTTTTTTAACATGCAAATGTCTATTAAGCACAAAAAAAAAAAACTGTACAATCACGAATAAATGAAGAGGGAAATACTATGTACGAGAAAAAATAAAAGGAAGAAATTGTTTAAAACAATAAAGTTGGATGAAATTGAGTGAGGAAAATATACAATGGTCTACGGGAACCGATGCTAAAGGAAATGATGATATTCACAAGGGGTGATTTTCTCTGGAGCAAAAAAAAAAAAAAAAAAACTCTGTGAAATATTCTTATTTTTTGTACTTGAATGTTTTAATGGGCTTGGCTTAATGTTGTGTTGTTAATGGGAATTCGTATAGTTAATTCGGATAACATAATTTTGCCATAAAAAAGTTGGGTTTTTTTTTTCTCTGATTAAAACACACTCTCTTTGCAAATGAAAACATATCAATCTTAACACATAAATGCGTATCGTTGATTGCTTTTTTTTCGGAGGGGGTACGAAGCTTGAGCGAAACACGATTTGTGTGATCTGTAAATGAGTGAGTGAGAGATGCGATTAATCGAGAGGTCGAATGAATGCCGCCATTTGCATTGAATCGATTGAATCTGACACTGTACCTTAATATTGTGAATTTCCTATGACTACGCAGTGTAGGGGAACGAACGAAAATTTTTTATTCTGTTCAACACGTAGGTGGAATGGAATCGATTCGACTTTTTGAACGAAGTCAACGCGAGAAGTGTCACTAAACTAGGTGCATACGACTGTGAAATACGGATAGGTGTCGACTATGTACGAAATATTACGATTATGAGTCTAAAATGGCGTGATGATGAATTGTCTAGTATAACATTACTAAAGGCGTGTGAATGTTGATATATTTTTATTTAATTTTTTTGATATATATATATTTTTTTTTTTCCTTTTGTTTTTTTAAAGTCTCCTTTTCTTTTGCTTTATTACTACGAAGAAAATTATTTAATATTCGATCTTGGGTATGAGTTGGCGGTACGGATCTTCGGGAGTCACGGAGTAATTTAAAGATGCCATTTGATTATTATAATTATTGTAGCCTTCGTAATCGATGTATTCTTGCGATTGTCCGTCGAAGACGGTGAAGTCCCCGTTAAATGAATTTTGAAGATAGGCGTATTGAGATACGGAGTCGTCCATGAGACTGAAAGTATCGGGCGGCGATGCTGTCTCTGGACTTTGGGAGTAGAATGATTGCCGTTGATTTGAGTTTTGCACCGAGACCAATTGCGAATCGGATAGATATCCGTTGTCGACGTCGGCCGACGAAGAGACACCTCTTTGTATTGATGAGAGAGAATTGTTGTGTGATTGTAAATTTTGTGGCAAGACCGGAGCTGATTGTCGCCTGGATGCTGCATCTCGAGTCGGAGCTCGGCGCTTTCTCTCCTGGGGTCTTCTCGGGCGATACCTGTATTCAGGATATTTCTTCATGTGTTCCTCTTTGGCTGCTTCCGCCATCTTCTGGAACTTGTTACGTACCTCCAAGGGTTCTTCGTGCCACATTCTTCCAATCTCCTTGGACACCTCATTATTAGAGATTCCATGGTGAAGAGCGACTATTGTGGGTTGTTTGGCACGACGATACAAAATGAAAGCATTTGGGGGTCGCGGTGGCTTCTTGACTTTTCCATTTTTACCATTGATGGAACCCTCCTTCTTCGCGGAACTGGCAACTCCACAAGGGAGGGCGAAAGATGGAAGGCGAACGTCGGTGTCGGGAAGCATCCTCGACACATTGGGCGCAGTAGAAACGGGCTTCGAATTCTCTAGCAAATTTGTTACCGTTTGTGCCTTGAAGTCATTTGGAACTAGCACAGGTTCGAACCCCTCCGGAATGAAGTAGAAATGTCCCTTTCTTTGTTCGTAAAGATATTGAACTCGATCATAGGAGAGGTATTCGAAATGAGGAATTGGGCTACTCCCGCCTTTAGGAGAACTCGGGCATAATTGTGATTGTTGTTCATGGTCAAAAGAGTTGCCGACGTATTCCTCTGACTGATCGAGGTAATTGTTTTCAGAATACAATTGCTGCATTTGTCTAAGTGCTATGACATCTGGTTGAAGAGCTATTGCTGACATGGGAGAAGGGATGTTGCTATTTGTTCTCGATTGTTAAATATTATGTTATTAAAAAAAAAAAAAAAAAAGAAAAGAAGTTTTGATTTCTTTCGAAGCAAAAGTGGGTTTGTAAAAATGAAGTAATTTCTATTGCGGTTTTTATAAAAAAAAAAAAAGAGAATAGGGTCACGTGATACAATAGTAAAATATATATTAACAGTCGTCTGCTTTATTTAAAATACCAAATATATTTGTTGATCTCATTTAAAACGTTTTTTTTTTTTTTTTTTTTAATACACATACTATTGTGATGAACCGAAAATTTGGTGCACGCTTTAGTACCCATTAAAGAAAAATAAACATAAAATAAAAAATAAAGTAGCCGGAGGAAATTATGGGCGAAACTTTATATCATCACATACGGATTGTCACATTGAAAAGCGAATATTTGTCACGTATGCGCCATCGGCCATCGGTTTAACAGTCAAGTTGACAAAAACATTACGTAACCATAAATATAGACCTGTGTTCGTTGGTTTCGAAGGTAATTGATTGGTGGAAAGCTGTGTCCATTAGTGCCTAACACCGTTATTGATTATGAACACCCTTGCTAAACACAAAATTTTTTGTTTATTAATAACTTAATAACATAACATTACTAACGGTCTCAAGTCTATTTATAAATTTTGGCTGATAAATCGTTCATTACCTACCACCCCAACCATTAAGGTGGTGTGCGTGTGTGACGAAAGATGGATGGCTTTACTCTTAATGATTATCATCTGACATCATCTGTAGATATGTGGCCTGATTGAAATCCATCTTCTTCTCTCCACAACCATCTCCCTCGGAGCATCTAGGCAGTAACCAGAATTTCAGGCGTCACCGCATCATCATCATCATTTCCCTTGGTCGTTCAGAATGAGGGAATGGATTCTTTCTTTTCTTTTGCGACACATTCGTGCAATGCGTGTTGATGGGATCGAATGAAGAAAGGCACCTTGGTTCGCGCAGGGCAGCAACGTGCGTATGTCGATTCTTGTAACCGACCGATGGATGGGTGGGGTTGTTGCCGAGCTTCATCGCAAACCCTCGTTTCTAAATTTGGCTTTTATTAAAACAAGTTTGCAAATAATGTCTTCATAAGTTCGTAATTTCCACTTTCACCTTTAAAAGGAATAGGATGCCCGGATAGCCTCAGGAACAGTCCAGTCATTTTAACTCTGTACGTGGGCAAATAACCAAAGAGATGCAATACACTGTGTGTCATGCATATATGCTGTATGTGAAACTTGTTTGTAGATTAAACATGTCGCTCATCTCGTTTGTTTATTTATTTGCTTATTTATTTATTATTTCTTTCTTTCTTTTTTCTTTTCTTTTTTTTTTTTTTTTTGCGCGTGTGTTTGTGTTGATATTTTAGAGTTTGCAGATACCGACCGACGCAGCGTTTTCAGTAGAGAACGGAAATCCTCGAAGAGACAACCTTTTTTACCAATCATTTTTGGCCTCTAGACATTAAATTCGGCTGGTACTAAACTGGACTTGGTAATTGGGCGTAGGTTAATCATCTGTGAGGAATAAATGATGTATAACCCGCCGATTCTTTGAATTCAAAAAAAAAAAAAAAAAAAAAAAAAAACGCGAAATGGTAGATGGTGTATTTGTTCTTTGTTTCAATTTTAGGATGGAACGTCCTTATCGGCCAAATATCTCGGACCCCACGTTGAAATTTCCATATTTATGAGATACCTAATGAGTGTGATAGGCAATTTCGACAATGCGTCTAGGTGAGGGCGTGCCGATTTATTCATATCATGCAATGTGAAAGAAAATTAGGTGACAAGTCAGGCTTGCTTGCATCAAGCATTTAGTCATGCGTTAGAAGATTATACGAAAATGACGCAATTATGCATACATACAGTAACTTTTTTTTGGGTTTTTTTTTGTCAATTAGTTTGAAATGTCATAGTCGAAATATCGTTTAAAAAAAAGAAAAAAGAAAAAAATTGGACACCTACATATCACACGTGTCACGCATCATCTCGCGAAACAATAAACACAAATCCAGAAAACAAGGTTCAAAAAAATTTTTAATATGTACAACCTGAAATTTTCCTTTAGGAAAAAAAAAAAAAAAAAGGACACACTGATAGTTTTAGCACCGCACATCTATTGGACCAAAGCAAAGAATTGATGGTCTGATATAGTGATTCGTTTCCACCAAATAATTGCTCGGAAATACCTGGTTTGTGTTCATGCAAGAAACAGGGTTATTCATCCTTCAAGTTTCAATTCTGATAGACACGAATATGGTTTTATTTTGTATGTACGTGTGTCGGTCTCCACACGCATTCTTTGTAGAAAGGTTGAATTTCCATTTTCAAGCAAGCATCTCGGTTCAATTGAATTCCGACCTCAGCGGTCAAGGTTGATTGATGGATGCGTACGCATGGAACATTCGTGCGCGAGTAGAAAGGCCACTCGCATATTGTTAGCCTCGGAGTGTGTGCATCAAAATGTCATTAGATCTTGGCTTGGCACATGCATGCATTCTTACGTTGACTGATAACGCGTGGGTAATGTTCGCGCATTAAGGCGAACGACGAGGCTCAAGCATTACGTCTGATGCGTTACGCGTGCTTTACCGAAAGGGAGTGATCGTTATCGAACTTAAAGACAATAGCATGAGCGTGCATTCATCTTCTTGCAAGTTTGAAATTCCCAAAGTAACATGATTGTTTCATCATCAGAATCTGCCAGGTGAGAATCGCAAAGCACTGACGAGACTTAATTGCGCGTACAACAAAATTGCATACGGACGGAAGACCTGGTGGCTTTTGATGCAAGGTCGCTGTAACATCACACAAAACTAATTAAAAATTATTTTTTGCGTTCGTTCTTTGCATGAGGCATGACAAATTCAAATTTCACCATGCAATGTTCCCTGATGGATTTCAAAGTTTTTTAAAAATGTAAACACGACGGACAAATAGGAGGCGAAAATTTAATCTTCCAGCACTTTTCCAAATGCAACCTTGAGACCTTTTTCGAAGCAAGGTGAAGGTAAGCCTGCAGATCTGCATGTTTCAGTCATGGCATCATCATGTTCGGTAAAATTTTTGGTATGACTAATAGAAATGGCCTCGTGTAACTGCTGTATGTTACTGGCTGTCAGAGAGGCGCGAATTTCTCTTCATGAAGATCAAACATACAAGTCAAAAGGAGTAACAGGAATTTTCGCTAAAAGCACAATAGTTTTCATTTCCATCAATAATATCCTTTATGATATCATCTATTCATGAAACACAAAAAGATGTCTTTTATTCTACCAATCTGGTTGCATTGTGCTGTACACGGTAGGTTTTAAACCACACGTGAATTATCTAGCAGATGTTATGCATCAACATTTGAAAAAAAATGGATGGTCATTGGATTATCACCGGTATTGTGACTAACCTGGCGTAACGTGTTGTGACTATTATCATTTCTTTACGTGATTTCCAAATAAATAAAATAATAGTTACAGTATAATCAAACCTCGTTACCTATCAGTTTTCCGAAAACTGCGTAAAAAAAAAAAACGCCTTTGTGTAAACCCGTCTTCTCGAGTGACCATTCGAATTGACATTTCTGTTCACCTGCTCCGATAGGTTTTATTCACTATTCAGGTTTGGTCAATTGCTTGCTACGCTTCACTTTGCGGTGCGAACGGCGTACGCCGGAGTAATGCGGCGAATCCACATTTCCGGTTTCCCGAATAGATATTTGCTTTGTTTACCTGACAGACCTAACCTAAACTTTGCGAGAACGATTCCTATGTGACACCATTTCCTTTGCTCCTCGTTTAATCACAGTAACAATGTGATGCAAATTCTTCGGTCCCGATGTTTGGCGGTCAACGCCTCCCTCCGGGGTGGGGTGAAAAATTGTGATTCGAATGCTCATTTTTGTTCAGGGAGAAGACCTGTGGTCCGATTAAAGCAATTCCATTATAAATTTTCGTATTATACTTTTTTATTATTTATTTACTTATTTATTCTTGTTTAACTCTTTGCCACCCTCACCAATCAAATATACCGTACACACTGTATATTCAATGCAGTTAAGTGAAACAATGATTTTCCAATGCGCCGCCGCCTCTTGAACCGTTGTGGTAGCATTAAATGAAAAAAAGACCTTCATTGTTACCGCAATTTTTGGAAATGAATGAAATGTGCAATAATGAAAAGTGTGGGGTAAAGAACAATTGAACAAAGTGACATCCTTATCCAGAAGTACAATAAGCTTATGGCAACTCGAATATTTACCTTGATCATTGTTTGCGGCTTTTATTGGCAAATAGCTGTTAACCGACTTTCGCAGTTTCCTTTGTTTGTTTATATCCCTCCCTCCCCCCTGAATTTGATGAGCAAAGAACGAAAATTAAGGTTGCCAATCAGAGATACCAAAATTTCTTTTGGCAGACTTAATTCCCGATGACTCCTTGCGCATCCACCTTTTTTTCCCGCCATACCCCTGGCATTTTGACGGACTCCCCAAAATACAGTACGTGGCGGGCGAGCTTGATGACAACGTTACCCTCTTAATTACAGCGCGGGACTTCTATTTCTCCGCGAGCGAATGGGATATTCTGTTTCAAAGAGGGGTAGGTTTCGGGAGGTTCTCACGGTTCATCGCCGTTTTCCGCACCGACTCCATCTCACCCTTGAACAACGGGTGAGGATGCCCTCTTGTAAGAGTGACCTCGCTCGTACTCCTCTCCTCACGTTAAACACTGTGACACATTGTTCCCCCTTCTTAATTAAAACGAGAAATGGGATTCATTATGCGCACGAGGTTGTCCTTTTTCGATTAGGAATGTTTGTTTATCTTCTAAATGAAAGGACAATAGTGAATTCGGATCACATTTTTCTTCTTCAAAAAAAAAAATAAACACGACCATTCGGAACTTACGTAATTGTCACACCATTTTCCCGGGATTCTATTTACGCATTCCGACGATGCCAAGTGATGTCATGTTTATTAACAATGGGAGTACATCCTTGGTGTGGCGGTGTGGCTAAAAAGTTCACAATAAGGAAATGCCTAGTTCCATGTGCCCCTCTCGGCTGTGTAAAGCATAACACACTATTTATGTAATGATTCATAAGATGAAACTCTAGGCAAACTTTGGCCTACAAGCACCCCCCCATTTAACCGACACCTCATTGTTACCCATCATTCGCATATCCAGTATTAGAAATCCATGCGCATTTTTTTATGGTTTGAAAGGATGCATTGACCGAAATTCCAATTGTCCATAAACTAGTTATAACTAGCATTGAGTTTTAAGGCTATTATTCTTTCCTCGCGGATCAATCTAGATTAGGTCATAATAATACTCGCAGTAATGTGAGCACCCCGCCATATCGTCCCATGCCACCGCAATGTGACGTACTTTTCCCTTTCATCATCGTGACGGCGAATCCAATCCGTGGGGAATAATACGCATTTTCTAAAGGAGCCTTCCCTTTTAAGCAATAATTCTACAATCACGACCCTCACACACAGTGTATACAGTATTCCGATTATTGAATAATAATAATAATAATAAAAGGCTAACGTGTGATCGATTCCTTTAACTCTTTATTTTATGAGATCAATCAAAGGAGTATACAATAGAGATTTTCAAATCCCTTGTGTACGTGTAGTATTATGTATAGGGCTGTGATCTCGGTAGGAGAAATTCGGTGGACCACTTAATCTCGGGGGTGAAGGGATTCAGACTCGTGCCTGTGTGCTTTCAATGACTTTAAAGTAAGCGGTAGAGGTGGTCAGCCTGAACAATAGAAATCGAAGCAGATATTGTTTGCGATTGATGAAGAATTTCCTTTAAAAAAAGGTCAAGGAGTTCAAAACATAATTTGTCACGTCCAAAGATTAATTTGGACGTTAAGGATATTGTGATTGATCTTTTTTGCTATCTTAATTAAGCCAAAATTTTATTTGCTCAAAGAATGAGTCGCTCGAATAAAGTCAATAAGGGAATGCCTGAAGGACAAAGGACATGGCGTACAAAATAGCACACGTCTCATAGACCTCACGCATCTCGCAGGAAAATACCCATCATGAGTGAACAATACGTGTAAATTTCCCTCACACGACTGAAATTTAGCCACAAAAGTAAATGAAGAATGAATGGACTGACGAACGAGTGGGTGAACAAGTGAGATAACGAATAAATGAGTGAATAAAATGAGCAGAAATCATAAATAAATAAATAAGCAAATAATAAACACGGTGGGTGATTGATTTTAAAGTTCGAGACGCACCACTACACATAAATCAGGATTTTCCCACTGCAGCATTTCCCAATAATAATAAACATAACGAAAAATCTGATGTTTCCGTTGTCCTGGCACCGAGCAAACAATTTACGAGTCACTAACACGCGGAATTCACATTCCCCCAATCATTTATTTATTTACCGTATATCCGCACCTGTTCAAATCCGAGTCACACTCTCAACGAAGGGAGTCACAAAGTTTGAGCAGGATGATTGATTACCTTATCACTGATCGCGCTTCCTTCTTGTATTCCTCTAACGTTAAATGTTTCTATCATTACCATATTTGGAAGCCGGCGTACTTTATTTTTTTATTATTCATCGTTATTATTATTATTTTTATTATTATTATTATTTTTTTTTTTTTTGAAAACCTTTTGCGGAACGTTCTGTCCGATGCTCGTGTGTAGGTATGCCCGTCAAACTAGTTGCACTCAGCCTTTTTTCACTTACCGCTTTTGTATTAAACGAACACCACTCCACCATCATTACGCCTTCCCTTCAAACGCATACGTGTGAAAAACGCGTTTTTATTACACTCAGCCCGTACATTAAAAAAAAAAAAAAAAGGAGACCTCTTTGTTAACTTTATTTGGGCACCCTTTCCCATTCCAGTTAGTCATGCTTGCAGCCTGTCAACATTTGATTTCGCTTTCCAAAAGTGAACTGGTTTCATTGTCAACACTTTATCATTGCATCAACCACCCAATCAACGTTACCATCATAATTAATTCATGCATCCGGAGGTCGGTTATTTTCTTTGGTAATACCGGTGCAAACGAAATCGACTTTCACGAAAAATAATCGTTCATCACCGCATCTCGGAGGATCGAGGAGATCACGTTCACAATCAACTATGTGGAGCGCGTCAAGTCGCACGCCTCCCGATTCCGAATTACCAAGAACAGTCTAACGCCTGCGCCCGGAAAACTGGAATCTCATGACATTCAACACGATCTTCGCAAAGATCACGAGGTAGGTTCTCATTATCACCTGATTATCTTCTTTCACGTGATTGACGTGCGCATCAGACCACAAAGCGTTAACGAAATCCACGTGCATTATTATTGTGAGCGAAGCGCATTGAACATTTAAGCAATGTCCATTTTAAGTGTCGCGGCTGGACGAGCGTCAATGTCAAAATTGTATGCGTGACTTGAATTCGAGATCCCAATAAAGTTGTATGTTTACAATTAATTTACTTTTCTAAGGCAGAGCGTATCATTTATGCGCACAATTTATTTCAATTTGATATTGTACACTTTGTCTAATTCTAGCGCATGGACCAACTGAATCCGAATATGTTGATGATAATTTATCCATCCCGCTATCATTTGTAATTTTCTTTCGAATAGCGCACAAGTGACGCCACCTCATCATTCATCTCATTGTTATTAATTAACGTTGATTGCCTATTTAATCGACAACCCCACAAACTTTTGAAAATTCTCCATTTGGCAATCTGATTTCTGACGCCTTTCGTAATTAGGATGTAAATCGGTTGCAACATGCACGATGCACGCACACAATCCATGATTTGGTGTCTATTGTTTATCGGTCGAAAAAAAAAAAAAAAAAAAAAAGTTTCTTCTCCAAGAATCGAAATTCAAGATGATCATAGGAATAGGAACGGACCTAGTTCACTTACCACGCATTCATGCACTGATCGCACGAAAACCTTTTCGATTGTCTAAATTCGTGACGCGTATTTTGGACCCAGAGGAGGTTGACGAGTTTTACTCCAATTTTCCGGGGTATGGAAAAGGTGGAAAGGAGGATCAATGGATCAAAGAAGTTGACGTGGAGAGTGCCAGCAAGAAGAAAGAGGAGGTTGGCGACGTGTTGAAATTGGGCGCGGTTGACAAGTGTAACCATCCGGTTGTGACATACTTGGCTGTCAGGTCTTTGTTTCTTTTATCTATCTGATTGATCATGCAATTGTAAGATTATCGTTTGATCAATCGTACGACGACGTGTAGATGGTCATTGAAAGAGGCAACTTATAAAGCACTATATCCACATCAAAGGATTACATGGAAAGATCTTTCGGTGAGAAAAGTTGAAGGTATATTGATTTGCACGTGAGATCCCTTACTTTTTCAGTGGTGACCCGTCAACCATAATTCTATGATATGTTACAGGAAAACCCTCTTTGATTATAAGCAAAGAATTTCAACGGAAAAATTTATTCAATATCACCAAAACCCATTCGTCGATTTCACATGATGGGGAGTATGTCGTTGCGCAGGTGTTGATTGAAGGGGAAAACCTGTAACAATATGTAATCACCTTTAGCCTCTCGTGATTGAAAACTGTTTCGGTTAACTTTCTGATGTCTAACCAATTCCGTCATTTCTTCGCCTATCCTCAGTTCGATCATTCTTTTTATTTTCTTTTTTATACATTTCCTCTGTGAAAATTCATTCCTTTTCCACTCGAAAAGTTATAAAGAATAAAATAAAGATGCGCACGTGAGACTCTTTTAACATACAGTACATACAACCCACGATAAATGTCTCTACAGTTTATCCTATGTGTTTTAATGTTACGCGATTCCCCTAGTTCACCGTGGGAAAACCGGGGCCCAAATTTCCTTACAACACTAATGTGAATTATTCTACAATGTAAAGCGTACTTGGGTGGGTCTCGTGTTACACATTTATGCGTGTCAAAACGATCGGTGTGAATCCCTTTACGTTCTGGGAGGATGGAAACGGTTCGCGTAAAATGAAACAATCCTGAATTATAGATGTTCTAGGGTGCGGGAGCAAGGACAATAGGCTAATTCAATCAAATTTCAAATTTAAACAACGGCACATCTCTCTTTGGACGACTTGCAGATCATCGGTTAGCCTGATACAAGTTTTAAAATTCGGGTTAGACTGAGTGAGACCTTTTCGCAAACAGGATAATAACTGATTGCATTCAGTTTGAAGTTTGTATTGTCGAGAACCAGACTTCAATGGTGCACCGTACCCAGGACCAACTTAAAAATAAATAATACCGCACAATGGCCTATTGAACAATATGAGCTACCTTGCGATTGGTGCAACAAACTGAACTTAGATTTGACACATTTCCAATGTCATGCAACCGATCTTTACTAGAGTCCTATTTTCTCAAACGTATTGGATGACCGGAGTGCAGTTTCCCGGTCACCATCAAATTCCAAGAAAAACAAACCCCGCACACTCACCATACAGTATCTGGGTACGACACCTAATAGAGATTATCATCGGAATTTGTCACCTACCCATGCCCGATAGCGATGCGATGTTATCAATCTTTCACATCCAACATACAATTGTGATTCTGCCTATTCCCAATACGCTTGTCCCTCTCTGAACCTTTTATTGTAGTCGACCGAGAAGAAAGGTCAAGCACCGCTCTTCAAGTTGAATGGTGCAAGCGACTTTTTTTACCTGAATCGAAATAAACAAATACTTGTTTAAGACAATCCTAATTTCAA